ATCACAAAAAAATAAAAATCTCCAAATATATAAATAATAAAAAAATAAGTACTCTTAAATATCATGAGTCAAGATTGCAAATATATATATTATATCACTCTTAATTAATTTTTAATTACAAGAGCATATGAACTTATATAATATATAATAATAACGACTAAGCATTAAATAAGGCTAAATTAATCAGAAAGCACTCTATACACATTTCTAATAAATTCATTCATATTAGATACGCTTTTCAAAAATCCATCCACATTAGTATTCATACTCATAAGTCATAAGGGGGCGATTGTTTACACTTTCTACAGTAAAAAAATCAATCAAAACTCAAATTTAACTCAATTTTAACTCAACCTCACTATCTCTCATATTATCAATAAAATTAAATAATATCAACCAATCATTCTTACACATCACATCAACTTTAATTCACTATTCATCCACTCACATAATTTTAACTAACTATCCCTTCCAATCATTTTTCTCCTACTTTACATCAAATTAACTTTAATTAATTTATTTAAATATTATTTTATTATATTTACTAACAACTAACCATACCACCTTTTTTCAAAAGTAACTATAGTTAAAAACAAACCAAATAAAAACTAGTTAAATTCATAAACAATCACCCCTAAGTAACTAGAAATTAGGAGAGAGATGATAACGTAAGAAAATAAATAAAATTTATTAATTTTCTACTGGTCAGACAATTTGTATCCTTTAGTGTTAAATTTATATGTTTACCTAAAATGAGCTTAATGGGTTTGTTAGGTTCTCACAAATTACTTGCAATGCATGTCTAAATTTAAGTTTTTTTAATAACAATGATATAAATAATGTATATTTTTTACAGAATAATATAAAATTGAAGAGCAAAAATTATTAATTATTTCTCACATATTAATTAATCAGTTAATAATTAATTAACTTAACAAGTAAATATTTATCTCTAAATAAATACCAGTCTCGCTCAAATCTTTTATCAAGTTCATAAACCTTCAATTACCTATAAATTAAATAGAATTTAAAACAATGTAGAATACTGATTAAAGGACTACAGATTTGGAAAATAAAATTCTAAAAACATTCTAAAGTATAAATTGGAAAAACTGGCAATATTATGTGAAATATGTTTAATTGATTGAAAACCAAATAGAAAAAAATATATTGGACTAATGGATATTGGATAGAGAGCCGTTCTTTTTTCTCTGACAAAAGAAGGGGTAGAGATTATATATTACTGTGGTAATGGCCCTTTATAGCACTTTACCAAAACAAAAAATGAAATATGGCCATATTTTTAAGAACAATGAAATATAGCCATTTGGGCTTGTAAAAATACACTTGTACCCTCAATCTCAATTTTTCCTTTCTCCTCTAATTTTCCAAAAAAGCAGCCCGTTTCCCCCTCCTGTAATCTCAAAATTTTCAGAATTTTTCCTTCCTCCTCTACTTCTCTGCCCAATTTTTTCTCGCTTTAATGAGCCCGTTTCTCGCTTTCTTCCTTCTCCAAATTTTGGTAGTGCTTCTTGCTAACGATTCACGCCAATTTTCGCCGCCGCCGTCGTCGATGCCCGTCACGATTCACGTCGCCGTCGAAATTGACCTCCTCCGGCAAGTCGACTGCTCGAGCTCCTCCGGCGAATCGAACTTCTCGAAGCCGGCACTACCAAAACGGACCCTCAAGGTACGGTTCTGTAAGGTTTGATTAGGGTTTTTCTTGCCAAACCATAGTGTGAAGGAAAACTGTATTTCTATTATTTTTTTTATTATTATTTTAAATTATATCTAGCAAAGATTGAGTAATCAACTGGGGTTGGGAAAGAGAGAAGAAGAAAAGAAAAAAAAAAAGAGAGAAAAATAAAAAAAAGAAAAGAAATCCTAGTTTAGAAAATCTATTAATATATATCTTAATTGCTGAAATATTATGGTATTGTTCTAGCACCTTAGGTCCTTATTATCCTAATTGGTTTCATTATAAATTTTAATGACTTAATGCAATCAAAAGAAGCATGTTGCAAGACCTTACAGTGTATTCTGCTATAGTGGTTCAAGCGGCATGTGATTTTCTTGTTGTTTTGGGGGAAAAAATGGACACAAATACACTGCCTATAAAACTGCAAACTGTAAGATGGACACAAATACACAATGCTTAATGCAACTATACTTGCTGCTAATTGTTCTATTTTGAAAAGACAACTTCCCCAGTTCCTACACCCATGCCTTCATCAAGTATCCTTCTGAGATAGTCCAACTGCTCAAATTCACCTTGAAGTTACTCCCACTGCAAATAAACACGACAAAAAAAAAAGAAAAAGAAAAAAGAAAATATGCGAATGAGAACTCACCACATTTTCAAAATACTGACATGGAAACACAAATTATTATGATACACCAATCGGAACTTCCTTTTGTTAGAGGCTGGCATTAGAATTCTAAACAGACGGATTAGAATAGACGAGTTACGCATCACAATAACAGACAACATATGAGAGACTGAAACAGTTTCTTGCTCAAGAAACATGTTTCTTGAACAAGAAGAACTGTTTCTTGAAAGAAGAAACTGTGTTCAATAAACAGTTTCTTGTTCAAAAAACAGTTTCTGTTTGTTCAAGAAATTGGTTTCTTGAGCAAGAAATGGGTTTCTTGCTCAAGAAATCTGTTTTGTGTTCAAGAAACAAGTTTCTTGTTCAAGAAACCAGTTTCTTGTTCAAGAAAGCACAAAAACAAGAAAACAATGGGAGTTCTAATTAAACAAGAAAAATATGTTTTGCAGCAGTTTTTCTCCATTCCTCCAACATTGGGAAATTTTTCGCGAGATCTAACGCGACTCGCGGAGAATGAAAACAATGAAAAAGAAACAAAAATACCATTTATCAAGAAACAAAACACAACTCCTTTTATTCAAGCACAAAAACTCCATTTTTTTTTACTCCAAAAAAATATGAGTTCAACAAAATAAAATGGTACTAGACAAATCAATAATTTTAGGAAAAACAATAATAAATGTTTTCAAAATATTTTTATTTAACATAATAAAAAAAACAAAATTAGGTTTATGTTAATGTACCTTTTTTCTTCTCAACAAATGGATTCACTTGGTGGTGTTGGAGATGATATTTGAAAAGAGATCACTTTTAATTGAATTTTGGGAAGATGAGTATTTTTTTTTTTTTTAGCAGA